TGACTTGTCTGCAAAAGAAATTCCAAGAAGATCTCGCTCATTCTCCTCTGCGTTACCAACCGGAGAGCGTAATGTTTCTCGTGGACTATGCGGGATATTCGAGCTGAGTGATGAGGTTATAGCTCTCAAGATATTGTCACAGTTGACTCCGTCTGATATTGCATCGGTTGGTTGTGTGTGTCGGCGGTTGAATGAGGTTACAAAGAATGATGATGTGTGGAGAATGGTTTGTCAAAACACGTGGGGCACTGAAGCTACACGTGTTCTTGAGAGTATTCCCGGTGAAAAGAGGATTGGATGGGTTCGATTGGCTCGAGAGTTTACCACACATGAAGCTAATGCGTGGAGGAAGTTCACGTTTGGAGGTGCTGTTGAGCCTTCCCGGTGTAATTTCAGCGCCTGTGCGGTTGGGAATAAGATTGTTATCTTTGGCGGCGAAGGTGTGAACATGCAACCGATGAATGATACATTTGTGTTGGACCTTGGCTCTAGTACTCCCCAGTGGAAATCCGTTCTCGTTAACTCTCCTCCTCCTGGTCGCTGGGGTCACACCCTTTCTTGTGTCAACGGATCCCATTTAGTAGTCTTTGGAGGTTATGGGAGCCATGGATTACTCAATGATGTCTTCTTGCTAGACCTTGATGCAGACCCTCCTACATGGAGAGAAGTATCCGGTTTAGCCCCTCCAATACCAAGATCATGGCATAGCTCATGCACACTCGATGGAACTAAGCTGATAGTATCTGGTGGTTGTGCTGATTCAGGAGCTCTACTTAACGACACATTCTTGCTTGACCTTTCGATGGATACACCAACTTGGAGGGAGATACCTGTCCCATGGTCTCCCCCATCTCGCCTTGGACATACCTTAACTGTCTATGGTGACCGCAAGATCCTTATGTTTGGTGGTCTTGCGAAATTGGGAACTTTGAGATTCCGCTCTAACGATGTATTCACGATGGATCTTAGCAACGATGAACCATGCTGGAGACCTGTGATTGGTTATGGATCTAGCCTTCCGGGAGGCATGGCAGCTCCACCACCGAGGCTAGATCATGTGGCGGTCAGCCTTCCTGGTGGTAGAGTCTTGATATTTGGTGGTTCGGTTGCAGGGCTTGCCTCAGCTTCTCAGCTTTATCTTCTTGATCCTGCAGAGGATAATCCGGCATGGAGGATACTGAGTGTTAAGGGAAGTCCACCACGGTTTGCATGGGGACACACTACTTGTGTGATAGGAGGAACTAGATTGGTCATCTTAGGTGGCCAAACCGGAGAAGAGTGGATGTTAAATGAAGCTCATGAACTGTTGTTGGCTACCTCTTCTACTGCAATCACCTCATCAAGACATGAAGAGAAGAGAGTCTTGTAGATGTTTTTTTATCAAAATGGAAACTTAAAAGTTCGTAGTTGATATATACATGGTGAGTTTGTTGATATTAGATGATTATGGTGCAGGTTTGATGTTGTATAAAGCTATAAATTTATTTTCATGGATTAGAAATGTAGTGGGACTGGGAGTTATGGGTATTTATATTTTAATGAATTCAAAATTCTTTTTGAATTAGTGAATCTTCTATAAATTTATTTTTGCTGTTGCGTTATAAGATTTTTTCGAGAAATTATTTAAAAACTACATATTGATAACCAATTTTTAAATATACACTTAATACTCTAAGGCCATGTTCGTTTCTTCATTCAACTGAGCCATTTGGATGATGTTCGTTTCTTCATTCAACTGAGCCATTTGGATGAAGCTGAGCATGTTGTTCGTTTCGACACAAAATGTACGGCTCATTTGAATGGTTCAGTTGAATGATTTTCGAAAATCTATTTTTAATTTAAAGAATCAGTTGACTGAACCGAATCGGACCATTTGACTGAACCGAGTTCAGTTGAAATCATAAAATATCGATATTACCCTTAGTTCAACTCAAATATTACAAACCTATTTTTTTTTATCTTTTCAGATTCATTTGCTGTCGACATCTCTCCATCGCCTCTCCTTCTCTCCATCGCCATGAACGGAGCTTGAAGCTCTCACTCGTCGCTCTCTCGCCATTCTCATCTCTCTCGCTGTCTCTTCACCGTCACTCTCTGTCGCAGTTTCTCTCTCGAGATTGTTTTTGTGTTCGTTTTTCGATCTCTGATCTTTTCTAGCATTGTTAATCCATATTTCATAGTTTTGATTCACTTGTATCTCGTGTATACTGATGAGTTTATTCTGAATGTGATGTTACTTGTATCTCGTGTGTACAGATGATGGGTCGACTCAGGTTACCCAATCAGAACTGGTTACTTAGGTCTTCATCGCAAAACTGGATACCATATAGATCAGTTCAACAGCGGAGGTCCACCATCAAACACTAGGGAATTGTTCAACCGCAAGCACTCCGGTTCAAGATCAATAATTGAGAGGGATTTTGGTGTTCGGAAAGCCAAGTGGAGAGTTTTAGACAGAAAACATCCCAAGTATGAGCTGAAGAAATGGATAAAGATTGTGACAGCAACCATGGCCTTCCACAACTTTATTCGAGATTTATAACATGGAGATACTGATTTTTCTTATTGGGAAGGAGTGGAATCATATGAACAGTATGGTGATGATCAAGAAGAGCATGTTGGATACATTCCGCAGAGTGATAAACTGATGGAGAGTGTGCGTCACTATATTACTATGGAGATGGCAAGAGGAACTAGACTTCCATACTAGCATTTGTTAGACATCTTTTAAATTTCAGTTTTATAAACATTATTGTTAGCATTTGAATATTACTTTGAGCTGTTTGAAAGTTTATTAAAATTTGAATATCTACTTTGAGTTGTTTATAAGTTTATTTAAAGATTATTAAAATTTGAGTTTATTTTAAAATTTCAGTTTTATAATAAATAAAGTGATATGAAATAAAAATTTATAAATGTCAAAATGCTAATTTTAAAATGATTTCGGTGTAAAAATATTTTAGAATGAATAATAAAATTTTGTATAGTTAAAATTGATATCAAATATATGACTAAATCAAAATAGAGGTATATATGTAATTTGGCTATTAAACTCATTTGGATGATTCATCTAAATGGAGAAACAAACATAAAATCCATTCAAATGATTCATCCAAATGGAGAAACAAACATGGCCAAAAATTTGAATGAATCATTTAGATGGATCACACAAAAGGAACACCTAAATGGATTCATCCAAATGGAGAAACAAACATGGCCTAACACTTGAGTTTAGTTATCGTTGTTTAGTGTTTAATATTTATGACGAGATGTTGGAACAAAACTTAGGTTCTTCCCCTAGGTAGAACCTTTAATTCACCACTCCTCTTATCACTAATCAAATTGCCACATAAATTTTTAATTAAAATGATAGAAAAAGATAATAACATCAATTTTAAGAACTCGCGCTATTTAAATCATAAACCGGAAATTTTAAATCCTAAAACTAAACCCGAACCCAAACTATAAACCCTAAACACAAACTATATACCCTAAACCAAAATTCTAAACTCTAAACCATAACCATAAATCTTAAATCTAAACCATAAACCCAAACCCTATACCCTAAATCCTAAAATCTTAACTCTAAACTCTAAACTCTAAACCCTAAAACTCTAAACTCTAAACCCTAAAACATAACTCTAAACTCAAACCCTAAATCCAAACCATATAACCTAAATTATAATCCCTAAAACTAAACCCTGAACCCGAAACCCAAACTCTAAATCTAAACTCTAAACCCAAACCGTAAACCCTAAGCCCAAACCGTAAGCTTTAAACTCTAGACCCTAACCCTAGACTCTAAACCCAAACCAAGATTCTAAACCCAAACCTTAAATCCATAAAGGAACAACATCAACATTAACCCAAAATTTTAGGGACCATGATTTAGGTTTAGAGTATAAGATTTGGATTTAGAGTCTAGGGTTTTGGTTTAGAATTTAGGTTTAGAGTTAGGTTTTCGGGTTTAGAGTTTATGATCTATGGTTTAGTTTCAGGGTTCATGGTGTCGGGTCTAGGATTTGGGTTTAGGGTATAGAGATTAGTTTTAAGATTTATTGTTTGGGTTTAGGGTTTAGGATTTGGGTATAAGGTCTAGAGTTTGGGTTTAGGGTTTAGTTTTAGGATTTAGTTTTAGAGTATAGAGTTTAGAATTACGGTTCAGGGTTTAGGCAGCAGTCCTAATGTCGTCAAATTTGTCATCATTATTTTTTATATTATTTTAAAATTTTTAGAAGATAATTTAATATTTTAATTAATTATCTATGTGGCAATTTGATTAATTATAAGAGTAGAGGTGAATTTAAAGGTTCATCTTAGATGGTGAACCTAAGTTTTGTTTGTGATATTGAGTTTATAAACTTCTACAGTGTTTTATAAATTAGTTTTAAACATTTATAAATATCTAACAAAGGTTGATTTGTTTTTTTGCACAGTTAAAGTATTTATGAAAATGATTATTTTATAAAAATAAATTTGAAAAGTAATATCAAACTTGTGTAAAATTTAAAACCTTCTGATTGTTTTCATCAATGTTACTAATTTTTCATCACTTTTAATATTTTTTTCAAAAAGTTATTTTCGTAATTTAGAAAGAAAATTGTGTGGATCACCGCACAAAAATACTATCTTTGTTTTTGTCATATAAACTGTTTTTCATGTACAATAGAATATAGTAATTATTACATATTATTGAAAATGGAAAATTGGTTAGAAGATAGTAAAAACAGAAAATTAAATAATGAAAAGTATTCTTTTCAATGTATTTAAAATTTAAAGTAGTTAAAAAGAGAGAATGTATTTTTCAAATAAGATATTTGTTACAGCCTTACAGGGTATTTTTCCAAACTTATAAAGAGAATTTTGAGAGATTAAAATAATAAAAATTAGAGGAAAAGAAAAAGAATGAAAACATGAACTGTATGTTTTGACTCTTTTGGAGAGAGTGAAAAGTAAAGTACATTTACACTTGAGAGGAAGGAACCAAAAACTCAATCTCTCTAGAGAAAGAGAAACCGTCTTCACTTTCACTGTCTGCAACTTGCACAAGTAGCACAGCTACTTCTCCTTTTTCAGATTCTTGTCTGAGCAACTTTCACATCAAGATGCCGATCAACAAAGACCCATCAACACCTCCGCCTGTCATCGGCAAAATCGGACCTTACACTGTCTTCATGACTCCTCCTGCGACTCCAAAACCACCTGAATCTCCTTCCACTGTCTCCCAAAAGCCTATCGTTTCACCGCCTGTTCTTCCTCCGCCGCAGCAGTTTAAATCTGTGGCTTCCTCTGAGCAGGACAGCTCGGTTTTGGGGTTCTTCAAAAACGCGGTCACAAAGGTTCAAAGTGGTAAGCAAGAACTGTCCTCATCTTTGGATCTTGCGTTTTGAGATTGCCTTTCCCTTTTCTTGATGATTGATGAAGAAGTTGATCTAAAAGATTCTGTATCTGTGAGGTCACTGGAAAGTAGATTAAGGTGGAGAGTCTTGCTTATGTGATTTGGTCCTAAAAACAATTAAAAGCTTTCAACTTTGACATTCTTTTTTTTTCTTTTTTATGGGACAGCACATTCAAGTGTGGATGATCATTTGGTGAGGTGGTTTGGGTTAAACCAATCTAAGTACCAGTGGGCTTTGGACGAGTACTACGAAGGCAAAGGATCTGTAAGTGTTCCTTCATTCTTTCATAAAGTTTTTTTTTTTGTTGCTTTCCTTGTGCTTCTAGATATGTTTAGTTTCTCGTTCTTGATTCTTTATGTGTACTAGTTTCTATCTATATTGACTCTTTTGTTCCCTGTGATTCATCTGTTTTTTTTTGGGTTGATTTGATAATATTATGTTTAATGTACATTTTGCGTAACCTTTGTAGCAAAGCTAGTTTCATGTTTTTTTGCTCTTTACTTCTTGTCTTGCTTCTACGCTAACGAACACAACTGCGGAAGGAACAAAGCATATCTTCCTTCACCCAATGGTGGATATAAAACTGGCGATTGGTTGTCAAAAGTATCATTTAATATATAGGTTGTGGACTTGCTCTAAATCTAATGAACTCATCAATGGTGAATATTAAACTAGTAGTCAAAAGTGTTATTTATTTGTTTCTTTGGAATTACTCTCTTTAGACATTGATTGGTTGCATGTGTTCCTCGAAAGCATATTGTGTTGTGTGGTTAACATTCATCTTTTTATCTTCTTTTGCACATAAACTTCAGGAAATGAAGAGCGTGAAAGCCAAGGAGATGCCTGGGAAAGCACAAAGCGTATAAATCCACTTCCTCTCCCTTTGGCCAATCTACAAAACTTGTTTTTACTGAGAGATTTTTTAAAAAAAAGCTGGAGTCTTGATGAAAGTTCTCTTCAGATGATAAATTATTGAATCCATTTAGCCTTAGAGATCTGTTTTGGTATGTTTGAGAAGCTATGTTGCTCTTTGTAGTCTTCATTTAACAATGGTTAAATCTCCAAAGGAAAATGGAGTTGCATTGATCATTTGGTTTGCTGTAAGTTTAATCACATTATTTTATTTTTAATCTTATCTTACGTATGTTGTCTCAATTCAAAACAATTTTTTTCTATCACAGTACCATAATTTAAAATAATATTAAATTTTTGATAAAATTGAACCTAATAACAACTAGGTCTACTCAAGGTGTTTCTTTATATATAAAAAAGAGTATTTGCATTACACAGAGTGAAGACCTCTCTTAATAAGGCAAAAAGTGATCTAACATACTCTCACAAAATCTGGAGTACTCTTATTTATTTTGATACTCTCAAGAGTGGCGGTTAATGTCGAAAATGCCCATGGCCGATTTAATGAATTGTTTAATGCATAATTCGAAATAATTCTGGAATATCTCTCCAAATTATTCTAAACTGATTGATATTCATCGAGCCGTCATCGAGGAGTTCTTCTTCTCGAGTATTAGTCGAGTCCAGTCTTCTCAAAACATTCCCTTGTTCTTCCTTGCATGTTATTGCGATCTCGTCGCTTGGATGCAATCATTGAGCTTTTGATTCCGTGTAACAGGGTATGTATCTCAAATCATCACAGGGATTTCGATTAGATAGAAGATTTCGTATTTGTGTATGAACTAATCGAGGAAGATCGGAAAGTTTGAATGGTCTACTTATTAAGGAATTCGATAATCAACAACCGTATAATTGAATGTCGGGAATCAAAGATGTTTAAAATTTGGTTTTGAATTGAGAAGACTCGAGTCATTGTAACTGGAAATTTCTTATTCACTAATCGAAGATCAGAAAGGAATGAAAGTGTGGATGGTCTGTTTATTACTCAATTGGATAATCAACAAATAATCAACAACTGTATGATTGAATGTCATGAATGAAAGGACGATTCAATCAAAGAAGATTAGACGTTGGCCGATTACTAATTGACTATTGACACAACTGTGTAACATGGTGTAACGAAGTATAACTTTGATGGTATAATTGTATAACCAAGTATAACTTTAGGGGTTTAATTTTTTTTATATTGCAGACAATGAGTCCTTTTTCGTCGAACATACACTTTTATTATGATGGACATTATTCGAAGGATGGAGATGATTATGAATGGATTCCAACCGATGGTCGTTTGTATGCTATATCCTTTAAGACATCCTCGTTGGAGGAGATCACTTATTCGATGTTGAAGGAGAAGATATGCAGGAAGATGGGAATAGATCCGTTTATGAAGAGGCTCAGTTTGGGTTACATCCCATTGGTAGTGGAACCTAAGAGGAAATCATATATTTTGGATGATGAAGATGTGTTTGTTTATCTAACATCAGTGGATAAAGAGCAAAGAAGAAGTATTTTGCATGTAGAGGACGTCGAAGAATTGCAAATAGTTCAAATAACTGAGCAACTATCAAGAGTCGTAGATAGCTCTTGTAGTAGGAATTATTGTGAGCGTGGGAGTGGATATGGAGAAGAAGAGAATGTGGGCACTGGTTTGGAACACGATGAACATCCTCACAAGAAACATAAGAAGAGTAGGTTGTAAACCTTTCGGTTGCAGTTTTGTTTTGGTGTTTTTATCTTGTGGGAACGTTGTGAGGGAATCAATTTGTATTTGTGTGTTGTATAACTAAGTGAAACTTGGTTTCTTTACTAGTATAACTACAATGGAAGAACTGAGTAATAAGTCACTGAAGTACTAAGATGATTATTTATTGTTAATGTTATGTTAATTATGGTTAATCTGAATTATTAAAATTCCATCTTATTGTTTGGTCATATAGGTAATAATTTGTATTTGTGTATTGTATAACTAAGTGAAACTTGTTGTTTCGTTACTGGTCTAACTACGATGGAAAAACTGCGTAATATGATTGTAAACTCTCAACTTCTTAATTTAATAAGTCACTGAAGTAATGATATGGTTATTTATTATTAATGTTACGTTAATTATGATTTGATCAGAAATATTAAAATTACATCTAATTGCTTGGTCATATAGGAAATACACTGTGTTATCGTAGCCTTTTGACAAAAACTAACCTCGTTAGATTTGAAAACCTTGGATGGCACGAAATCAAGTTTATGTGTATATGATCGTCTGAGAAATGAATCTAGGAAACATAACTTCATTGGTGTAACCAAAAAATCAGTGATTCAAGTAGAGTATAACCAAGATAAATAGAAATAATTAAAAAGTGCAACTTTTATGTTTTTCGTAAAACTGAAAACTTGGTGAAACTTACTACGAAAATCGCTGGGATAAATTTCCCGCCCAGCTTTTCGAATTTCCCTCTTCCCAATTTGCTAAAACCCCAAGATCATTTAATCGAAGTATTAAAGACATTTTTTTGGGTTTTCCCCCATTTGTTATCTTCCATTTTCTCTCTCTCAAATCATTCTCTCTCTCTCTCTCTCTCATTCCTCTCCTCGAACTCACACAGAAATCGAGATGTCCACCGCTTCATGTTCCACGACCGGTGGTCGGACACGAGTACGAACTCCGAGAATACCTATTAAGTGCTGGTGCGGGGTGGGAATCACCGAGCTCATCTCGAAAAGCAAACCAAACCCGTTTCGCCGGTATTATCGGTGTCTCTATGCAGCTTCACTAAGGGTATTATCCGTTTACCTTTTACTTACTCTCAAAAGCTTACAAATTACGCTTACGAATTATGCTTACGAATTACGCTTACTCGTTTTGAAAATATCCATCTGTAGCTTAAGAACAATAATCACGTTTTCAAATGGTTTGATGAAGCTTTCACCGATGAGATACAACAGTTGGATTGCCAAGTTCGAATGCTCGAAGAAGAAGTTAAACTTTTCAAAGCAACAATAAGAAGTGAAGGTCCGGTGACGAGTTCCAAGATATCTGGAGGTTGTGTTCTTCTTACAATCGTTTTAGTTCTAGGAATTATGATGTACAATAAGTAATTCCTGGAAAATTTTTCTGTTATTGTTATGTTTTCTCTAAGTTAGAAAACAATGTAACACCAACGAAATTCAACTTTGTCTTAAGTTTATAAAGTTGACCAATTGATTACGTGAAACTATAAAGTTGGAAAGTAGAGAGATCGAAAATAGAACAATAGAAATAGTTTCACCAACATTAACACATAGTTTTATCGACATTTAAACAAAGTTGAATCCGACATTAAACATTTACACGAGACCTTTAACCCCATATTTCTGAACATAAGGGTCGCTGTTTAGTAGAGATTGCTTGAATTCCTCAACCTCGGGCAAACGCGGATTGAACCTGAAGTCCGATAATCCACCTTCGGCCTCAAGCCATATTTCAGGAGGACCAAAATAACCTGTATAAGTGATTTTAGTAAAAGTTCTACTTATCACATTTAAAACTAGTCACAAAAACAACACATATGCATAAATTTCCAGACTCTCCACATCTTAAGTGCCACAATCACCTGTCTACGACCCCCATCACTCATGTAATCAAGACCATCTCGGAAGGCATATGCCTGATCGCCGGTCACCACACATTTTATCTGATGGTCACTATTCATAATAAAGAAAAAGTGGGTCAGTTAGAATATATATATATATATATATATATATATATAAATTTTGCTTGGATCATTATACTCACATGTTGTCCCTTATGTAAAACTCCATCCTTGGTCCTGAAGGGGCATCGAGATAGGCTTTCGTGTTGAAGACCACTCCCATTGTATCTACCATATAAGTGTTACTCACCTAAATCAGTTCGTTTCACTTAGTTTCACTTACATCTACAGAGTTATACAAAGTTCTGAAACCAAGATATTCGACTGTTGAGATTGCCAACATACCTATGGGATATCTGAGGTCACGCCAGTGCATGCGAGGGATTTCATGGATGCTTTTGAAGTCCAAGAAAAGACGACTGTTCAGAGGTTCGATGATGCGGACTTGCGTACAGCGCGAAGCATTTAGCCTGAACGGAGAGCTAGTTAGCTAGAAACATGGGTAGGTCCGTTCAACTTCTACCACAAAGATTTCCACCCATCTTCCCTCTTCCTTCTCAAGGCCTCCAAAATTTGGATAATCCCCATCAGTGGTCATCTCCATCTTGTATCCCTACTTAAATAAAGTACAAAGATCATCTTTATTACATGTTACAAGGATCAAGTTTTTATTTCTCACGGTTACATGTTTATTACACACTTGAGAGATGATGATATAACACTTACATCTTCATCTGCGAGGATATACTTATAGTAAGGCCCATGGTTGGTAATCGCGTAAGGGTAGATCCTGTGTAGTTGCACTCGAAACGCCAAGACCTGATCTTTGGGTTAAAAGTAACCTCGGAAAGCTTATTTTACTCTGCCATCTTCTTTGTTGAGAGATGAGAGAAGAGATGGAGTATTCGCAGAGATGAGAGAAGAAATGGAGTATTCGCAGAGATGAGAGAAGAGATGAGAGAGGAGATGGAGTAACAGTGAGTGTTTAAATGCAGAATTCTTATAAATGCAAGAGATGTGGCGTATAAAAAAAGACTTTTTCACAAGAGAAGTCGTGTTCTTTTGACGAGGCTTTTTCTCAAAATTAATATTATCCTTTTCATTTATTATCTCCTACACTGCTAGTTGCTATCATTAAATATATGAAATCTAAATATATTCACTAACTATTATCCATTTTGGAAACTGACCATCTTTTGAAAAATAAAACGACATAATATCAAAAATTTTGTTAAGTTTTGTATATTTTCAAATTTTCATACAATCTAAATTGTTACATTTTTCTTAGTTTCATAAATTTAGCCCGTGATCTCCCCGAGTTTCACTTACGTTTACATATTTATATATCTTAAATTTCAGGAGAGGCGATTGTTGCAGTCAGAAAGCGTGTGAGATAAGTTGGAGTAGTTATGCTTTCTCGGGGTTCGAAGTGGAGTTTAAATGCAATGGTTATGATGATCTACTACTTAATGACGGTGTAGTGTTGTGGCGTTTAACTGCAAGTGTAATGATTATAAGTGACTTCGAAACTAGACATTTTCATGAGAGAAGTCGTGTTCTTTCGAGTAGTCCATCAAATCACCCCTCCATAATTACATGTTTTTTCTTAAATCTTAATATTACCATTTCCATTTAATATATCTTATACCTACGTTTTACATAGTTTCAAAAAATTTATGCAGTCTAAATTTTGAATTTTTTCTTAGTTTCATAACAATCAAACTCACTTACTTTCACTTACTTATATAGTTATATATCTTAGTTTCACTTTCTTTATATATAGTTATATATCTTATACAAAGTTACAGTTCCAAGAGATTCGAGTGTAGATATTCAGAAGGCGTGTGAGAGATGTCGTGTCTGAGAGAAGTCATGTCTTCTCGAGGAGTCCATCAAATCACACTTAAATGGACACGCTTCTTTTGATTAGGGTGAGTCGTTCATTAATTTTTAAGGGTTTATCACTTCTACAAACTTGTGACTTCTCTCACCATTAACCGTTTTATTTTATCAGATTTAGACATGGAGAACGTGAACTTGAATTCTCTGCCTCCTTCAATGCTTCATAAGATTCTCTCTAAAGTAGTAAAGACCGGTATCCGGAACTTTGGTTCTGCAAGGATTGCTTTTCCCGGGTTCAATGAAGTTGGAAGAGATGATCACTTCTATAGATCGGCCAATCTCATTTACTTTAATGACTGGGCAAACGAGGTCAATGCTGTTCGAGCTTTCAAGCTTAAATGCTACCGTTTGGGTAATCCTGAGGCCATCTACCTGAGAGGTATGTACGAGTTCTTCTTCCTCCATTTACTTGATGAAGGAAGGGAAAAAATACATCGTGCTGGTGAGAGAGGGTGCGTATTGGCACAAATTTATAGATGCTATGCTGAACTTAGCCTTTAGCATTGATGGTAGAGGAACTGTTCACAACTACACTGCTTTTACTCGTCAACATGTTGACGAGATGTTTCAAATCATCACTAGTTGGGATATCTCAGGCAATTGGGATTACGAAAAACCTCCCATGTTTATATCTGTGGCTGAAAGGATAGATCCTAATGTGCCACATTATTGCTGGTGCTCCAACCTAGAGCCTCCAATGTTTGTAGTCTCCCTAGATGGATCAAGATTGCGGTGGAAATGCGATCGTTGTTTCTGGAATTGTGCAGCTTGGGACTTATGCTATGCCATACACTCGACTGTTCGTGCCTGGCCCATTGAAGATTAATTGGGTGTTTACGACATAGAAGTTTTATCTAGTTTTACTAAGTTGTTATGTAAATTACTCTTCACAATATGCTCTGCTATTTCTCTAGTTATAGCTATAAACATAATGTACTTTCTCTGTTATATTTATAAACTAATATTTTTTTATTTGAACTTCAATGAATATATCAATAACAACAACTGTGGCTAAATAATAACGTGATAAAAAATTGCAATCTAAAAGTGCGACTTAGTTCAATTTAGAATACCTTCAATTTATTAGTTTAAGTTTTATTACGCTGCACAGTTACACCAAGGTTTACAATTACACCAATTCTTACAAAGGTTTCGGAAAACAGATCCAAATTATATGGATCGGGTCTGGATAGTCCGCGAAATGGCTCTGGTTGGGTTGTAATTATGAAAGTTTCTGTTGGGCTTGTGGTTTTTTAATAATTTTTCTGATTTAAATAAATATATATTTAGTTACAAATCCGGTCAGTTTCGAGCAAAAGTATCTCAGCTCTTTTTTTTTCGGGCAGGAGTACCTGAGCGTTTGACTCCATTACACACATAAGGATGATGGATTATTTAACACTATCCTTATTTTTGTTGCTCTTATAATTCTTTTCCTTTGAAAATGACTATTGTTCCCCTATGTAACTCAATTATCGATTTTGATGAAGTCCACATATTCTTTACATTACAAAACCATATCTACACGAAAATATATTTATTTCAGACAAATTGATATATTATAGAGTGCATTACAGTTTCAGACACTTTTTTCTCTTTGTTTACATCTCAAGACACTTTCTGCTGGTGGGACACATTCATAGAAGCCAAACAACTTTTTGGACAAAAATGCCCATAGTGAGAAGAGGCCGTGAGTTCCGTTTTGTTTATTTCATTTACCTAGTATTTGCCTTAGTTACTTTTTGTTTGTTTATTTCAGTTAGTTTTTTTCTGGGCAGTAGTTTATTTTGTTTAGCAAGGTTTATATTTTTATTTACTTTTATTTCAAATTCTAACTAATATAAACAAAATTTTATAGAAATAATCTATTGTTTAACATTTATTATCGTATATATATATATTATACATATTAACATTAACTGTATACAAAAAATATAGATATAGACACCAAACTGTGGATATGGATATCAAAGTGTGGATATGGACACTAACTAAACATTATAAAGTAGGTATATTTAGCATCCATTCTCTGATACGAAAAGGAAGTCTTCAAATTTTTAGTCTCAAATTCTGGAACAAAGAAATAAAATCATATTGGAACACTTGTAAATGTCAAAAATGGGCTCTTTGTAGAAAAAGAAATAAAGCTAACCTTCGTTTGCTCCACATGTTTTTAAAAGAGATGAATAAACTTTATCTTTTTAGTTGTCAGATCTCTGATACGAAGAGAATGTCTTCAACTTTGGTTTGCTCAGCAAGTTTTTAAAATGTAATTGCAAGCATGAGTGGAGTGTGATTCAATCCAACGTTCGTTGATGGTGACCCCAAAATCGAACCACCTCAAAGCTTCACCAAGACGATTGGCAATACTTCGCGGAGATGAGCTGAGCACAACCAGGGGACGACTTGGACGACAGATCTTGTGGTTGAGGCTGAGCACGGAGAGGAGCTTGAACCACCGCAACTAAGTATGGCGAGGATCTCGAACTGCAGCTTTATCGAGCTCATCCACGACGATGTCGACCTCAGAATCTAATTACCGCAGCTTCACCGTGCTCAAACCCCCACAGCTTCACAAAAAGAGCTCATCCACATAACACGTCAATTTCTGATGCATCCGACGACGCTCGTACCAGAACGAGCTAGAAGAAGGAGAAGCCAAATTGATTTTGGGCTTCAACACAGAGAAAAAAATCTAGTTTTTTTATTGTCTTCAAAACGAGAACAAAGAAGAATTAAGTGGGATTAGGGTTCTTCGATTTTGGAAAGTAAATTTTTGATTTGAGATCAGAGAAAAATAATTTTTTTTGTTTGTCGGTAATATCAGTTATGTTTCTGTCTCTTTAGTTTAGGGTTATTTATGTCTTTTTAAAGTGTAGAAGTATGTCTCAGACACTATTATTTAATAAATTTTTTTGTGACATTATAATCCTCATATTCTAATTATTTAGCTTGATACCATTATAATTATTTAGTTTAATATTGTTTTTGCCTTGAAATTAGGCTTACCCGGATATTTTTTTAATTTCCTTTTATCTAATCATTCGTTTTAGCTTCTTTTTTTTGATGTTCTCCACTCCTTTGCATGTCGCTAACCCGAAGCATTGCTTGCTAATTTACTCGTTTATTTTTCAGGACCCAAGCCTTGCTTGCTAATTTACTCGTTGGTTTTTTAGGGCCATGTGAACTCTATGGTTGATGTTGCTGCTGTTGATGAAGCCCATAATGCATCAGGGAATCCCAACGTAGGCACTGAAATAATGTTTAGGCGGCTAATTTTCTAATTTTGTTTGACCAACTATATCAGGAAATCTCAAATAGGTTTAATATAGAATTATCAGAACTCTAGTAACATGCTACTTGTCAACTTAGATTGTTACCACTCACTTTAGTGGTCATGTCCGCCAAATTTTTTTGTTGTACCAAAGAATTATACCAGTAAATTCTCTACTCTCATAATTTCAAGATATTATTTATGTATACAAAAACAAAACATCATAAAATTCAAGTGTTTGTTGTAAAACACCTTTATGCTTCATTGAAGAACATAGGATGAATGCTGAACATTCTTACGATGAGAATGGAACATTCCTACAACGAACATTCCTACGATCAAACTTGCTATTTAATACTGTCGGGAATTAAACGCTCAAGAACTCTATTAAATATCTACCTTCAAGCTCTTGTCTGTCATTTCTCTGAGTGTTTATGTAGCAGAAGCTCGATGGTCGGTTCCGTTTTATAGCAAAAATCAGACATGAACACACTCTCTCCCCCATACAAACTTTTTGCATGTCTTCCAAAATCTTTTCGTGAATATTCTATTTGGGGATTACTTCCAAAAATAACAGGAAAATAATTGATGTAACAAACAATAATAAATATAACACATACAAAAAACACTAATAGGTTATAACCATAAATAACGTTTGCAATATGCTAACAATAATTATATCTAAGTGGTACATGTCATCTCACAATCAATTATATTCAGCATGCTACTTGTTAACGAAAATTAGTTAATTTTGGCATGCTATGAAATTTTTTAACCTATGTATTTCTACTTGAACCTCAAATTTATTAGTGAGCTAATAAGCTGAGATATTCCCTACTAGTAACACTTTTGATTCCAAGTTAGTAATATTCGGTAGTCGTTAACTTGTGTAAGTTGAGTTGGGTCAAACACCCTTTGTATGTTCTTGTTAACATAAACTTATGCAATTTGGCTTGCTAAGACTACGTTTAGCTATTGTGATTTTAATTATACAGAACCTCTAATTTTATTATGTTGCTAATAATTTAATTTCCTGACTAATAAGTTTTTTAACTGGCTAATTTCCTGCCAACTGGCTAATCAACTAAGGTTGACTTCATGCTATAACTTTAAATATGCAGTCATAGATGCCATCCCTTTTAAGTTGGTCCATCAATTCTATTCAGCTTAGCCGTAATTTTAGCCCGCTACAGAATAAATACATACACACGCTGTTATTATATTTGTCTAAAGAAAACATTTTACTTAGTTGTCATGTTTTATGCAGATAACCTTGGTTACCATTGTAAAACCATAGTAACTTATCTTTCTTTAGCCGATTACAAACTATACACAAACTAAGCCTTCTTATACCTTAGGCCCAACATATAGGAAGGCTAATGTGGAAAATCAGAAGGTCAGATGACTAATCGAGTAAAGCCAGCTCCTAAAGCCACTTGTGAATTGGGTGGGAACACTTCATCTTTTTTTTTTTGGGCTGAACTGCTATTAGAGATGCAATGGTTCAAAACATTTCCGTTCAGACCTCTCTCATATCTTTTTGTTTTGTCCTTAGTCCGCAGTCAAATATCTATTTTAGCAAGTTTAAATTCAGAAATTACGAAGCCGAGTTCTTCGTATGTATCACATATGTGAATGAATCCCTTTAATGACTTTGCCTCTTCCTTTTCTTTTGCTAAATCCCAAAACTTCATGTGGTGTTAAATGGAGACGTCGTCGAGGAGATATAAGGAATCCCTAAATTTTATCGGTGTGGGGAAGAGGCTGGCATTAGATACTGTCGGGAATAAATACCTCCACACTTCTAACTTCTATCAGTTCTTTATCTGAGTGTTTAATGCTAGAGCTAAACGATTGCCTCAATTTATAAATGACTTCTGGTATGAACTTTCTCTCTCTTCCCCACAAATTTGTTTTTGCATGCTGCTTTTTTCTATGATTCTCTCTTTTGCATGCAGTTGTTTGTGTCAGATTTTCCTGTTTCCTCATTTGCTAATTCTTTAATAGCCTGCCTCACGTAACTTGGTAAGGGGAATACACTATAGGTTGATCATTACTCATCCCCTAATTATATTTAAACCCTTTTTTAGCTTCCAACCTATATGTGACCTACGAAATTTGATTTCTTAAGCTTGAGAAGGTTATTTTTGTCATTTTGTCTATACTGAAGTCCACATATTTTTTTTGGTAGATTTTTAATTACCATATTCTTTATGGATTTTGACCCAATTTACTAAAAAAAAAAATAGTTTTCTAGCATTTCTTGATTATTCAAGATTAATTTTATAAATATCTATACTATTAAACCAGAATCTCTTTTAGAGTTCTGCCCCTGATTTTTAAGAAATTACAAAATATCCCACTTTCTTTAATTTTTAATGAAAATCGCCCATTAAAATCCCAGCTGAAAATCATCCATTAAAAACCCAATAATTTTAACATTTATTTACAACGGAATGGATTTCAAATCTATACAATATATATATATATATATATATATATATATTTGTAAGTTTACAAATTCGTCAACAGAGTTAAGCCTGAGCATTTTACCTAGACCCGAACAAGAACCGTCCCGAAAATACAGGTTCAGATCCAGATTCGGGTTCATGCTAAAGTATCTGTTGGGTATTTTTTGTTTGGACCCGTGGGTCTCGGTTCGGGTCCGAGTCCTACTCGAAACCTGATCAGGTACCCGAAGTACCCACAAATTATTGTATATATTAGGTATATTTAGGTGATTGGGTATATTTTTGATAATTCGATTATTGTTTAAAGTTTCAGATTTGAATTTTCGGGTATAATACTAGTTTTAGGTAAAATTTTAGATTTTCGAAAAAATATTTCGGGTATCGGAGTAAAATTTTAGGTATTTTTTGAATTTTTGGGTCTGATTTTGGATAAACTTTCTGATATTTTTTTGCGGTTCTTTGGGCATTTTTAGAGTTTTCAGGTATTTTTGGGTTTTTGGATTCAGTTTGCTTCATTCGGATCCTTTTCGGTCTTAAATACCCGAACCGATCCGATAATATACCCGGACCAACGGATCCGACAAGACCCGATCCGAACCCGAAAAATTATAGGTATCTATATAGGTTCAAATTTCTAGGACCCGAAAGACCTAGACAAAATCCGATCCAAACTTGACTCGAAAATCTGGATACTCAGAATTAAACAGTATTATCCGCGCTTTAAAAACGCGGATCAAAATCTAGTTTATTAGGTTAAGACTTAAGACCATCATAAAAGGCCCAGTTGTAAGAAATTCCCACTGGTCTTGACGAGTTTCAGACAGCAGCCCAGTTGTAAGAAATTCCCACTTGGTTTGGTCCCAAACATTAACGTTAATATATTAAAAAAATTATAAACAAATATTGGAATGCAATTAAATAGAAAAAAAAAAGAGAACAGAAGGGTTTAGGGTTTTCAAAAGGACCAATTTTGCGCGTCTGGCTTCTCCTTTGTTCTACCCTGAAACTCCGCCTCTCCGTATAACTTCAAAACACCATGATTCGCGGCGGTAGAAGCTACGTGACATCGGCTCCTTCCTTCTCTAACGACGCAAAGAAGCTTCTTGTCTGCACAGGAAACACTGTCTCCGTTTTCAGCGCCGCCACTGGCTTACAGGTCCCAACTTTCTACCTTTTTCACTGTCTTATATTCAAATCGTTTGATTCAAAGCTTTCATCTTTTTGTTTTGTTTTGTTTTGTTTTGTTAAGATTACTTCGCTTGAAGGTCACACAGCTCAAGTGACGACTCTTATCGTTGTTCCTGCTTCAAGCGCTGCTCAAAAGATCCTCTGTTATTGCTGGACCGCCTCACTCGACGGTACAATTCGTCACTGGGATTTCTCAGGACCTGAGCTTCTGCAAACCATTAATGCCCAAGTTCCCATTTACTCTATGGTTAGTCAAGAACAGTTGATAATCTTTGTCTGATGTTAAAGTTTATAACTTTGGACTTCTTGTTTTTGTTTTTTCTAGGTCATTCCTTCTCTATTGAGTGAGCCTCAACAAACTGATAAAAGATATGATTCTAGTAAGTTAGTTGCTTATGTTTCTGTTGAGGATACTAGTCTGGTTAGAGAAGGGTCCACTGAGTTGCGTGGACACATTCGAAGGTTTAACTTAGCTAAAGAGCGTCTTCCTCGTGGAGATACCTTGAAAGAGGTCAGCTTTTTCGCAGACTTGTTTTGTCTTTTGGTTGGATTGATGAGTTTAAATCATTTTTTGCTTTTATCTTTTTGTGTAGACGGAAGAGCCAAAGTCTATAGTTATATCTCCCTCTGGAGAGTTTTTCGGAATCCGCCACAAGTGCAAAATCCATGTATGGGATGTTCCTTCTGGAGGGTCAGTTTCCAAGAAGATGACGTTGCATCACACTAAGGTTATCAATGCTTTTGCTTTTCATCCCACGGAGAGGATCATAGCTGCTGGAGATGTGACGGGAAGAGTGTTGATTTGGAGAGGGTTCGGTAATCGGAAACTTGCATTGGGTAGTCAAAAGAAGAATGCGAGAGCAATGGTTGATTTGGATAACCCTGGGGTGAGAGATGAAGATGATGCTGAGTCTTGCACTACGTGGCATTGGCACTCTGCTGAAGTTAACGTCCTTAACTTCTCTTCTGATGGAGCATACTTGTATTCAGGTGCGGCTTAGTTTTTTTGTACTTACTCTGACCTCTTGAAAGCGTGTTTGAAGCTATGGACTGAGTTCTAACTCTGTGTTCTCTTCTCTAGGGGGAAGGGAAGGGGTGCTTGTTGTTTGGCAGCTGGACACGGGGAAGAAGAAGTTTTTACCTAGAATAGGGTCTCCCTTGTTGTATTTCATATGGTCACCGGAACCAACTCTTTCTTCTGTAAGCTTACTCTTTCAATCTGATCAATGTACTGGAAGCAAAAAAAGGGAATGTTTTACTGATAGCAAGAGCTGCAGGTGGTTTGTGCAGACAACCAGATCCATTTGCTTAAAATGCCTTCCATGGAGATCTTAAGGACCATTTCTGGAATCAAGGTTCGTCTTAGAAACCATTTAATTAAGCACCTACACACTTCTCTTTTCGGTTTAGTTAATGTTAGATTTTATCACAAATGGTTAACCTTTGAAGCTACTAGCTAGTAATCTTTCTTTTATCTTCTTATTTCAATGTGTGTTTTTGGTTTTCAGCCTCCACCATCATTGCCTAAGATGTATGAAGGCTTGTCTAGTACAGTTGCTTTTGATCGCTCTTCTGGCATAGCTGCTTTGTGCACAGAGAATTATTGTGTTCAGCTATACAATCTTCTTAATGACCGGGGAATTTCAGAGGTTATTATTATCTTCTTTTCCACTTTGTGTTGGCATGTGATTGCTGTAATTGTAAACGAATGCTCTTGTAGGTTCAAGTTTGTGAGAGAAACCATCAACCAGGCGATGAAATCACAGTAAGTACATCTTCTTCCTGTTTTATTTGGTTTTTATATTTAAAAGATTACATTATTGTTTAGTTGACTAATTTGGGACTATGGTAACAGGTTGTGGTGACAGCTGTTGCTCTTTCCCTGGATGGGTCAGTGATGAGTACAACCGAAGTGAAACTTCCGGAAGATGGCATAGGAGGCTTAGTGTCCCTCAAGTTCTGGGAGTCTGAACCAGACAGCAAAACATTCACCTTATCCACAATCGTATATGAACCTCACAAGTAATTAACTTATCCCTCTGTTAATGGTTAAAGCTTTTTTTTTTTAATCCTCAAGTAGTAAACTTTCTCCTTCTGTGTATCTTACAGGGATGCTGGTATCTCAGCCATTGCCTTCCACCCTACCCGTTCCATGGCGGTTAGTACATCTTTTGGTGGTGACTTCAAGGTAAGTTATAAGCACTGATTCTATATCACAGCTCTCAGTTAGTTTTTTTTTTTAAAAACTGTTACTGATATCACTTTTTTTTCCGTTTCAGATTTGGGTTAGCAACAGCGACAAAAGCCAGACGGATAAGGACTCTAGCTGGATATGTCACGCAGTTGGCTCTTACAAGTAATATTTTTTTTTTTGTGCATTATGAATCTTCCACATTCACAAGTGATTCGCCTTGGCTGTAACTATTCTCTTCCCATTTCCAGGAAGAAGCCAATGACTGCTGCTGCTTTCTCTGGGGATGGCACTGTTCTAGCTGTTGCGGCTGAGAATGTTATTACGCTTTGGAATCCGGACAAAAACATTCTCTTGTCTGTCTTAGGGGCAACTCTTACGGTAGCTTTGCCCCTTTCCATCTAAAAAAGTTAAAGGCTTTCTCACGGAGACTGATGTTTAAAACCTCTCAATGTATTACAGCCAATCACAAAGCTCTGTTTCGCTGGGAAGTCTGAGTTCCTTGTTGCTGCATCTCATTTTCCAAAACCTGAACTCTCTGTCTGGAACACATCAAAGCTGTCTTCATCATGGTCATATGGATTACGCATAGAAGGTAAATTATAATAACACTTTTCTAATAGACTTCCTGTTGTGTGTTTTACTGAAGTAAACGTTTCTTCTCGTTCCGTAGCTATCACTTCGGCATTGGATTCATCCACTTTCGCTGTCTTGGCTCTAGTCCCAAAAATTTTTAGAAAGAGTAAATCTAAGAAGAATGTCTTCCGCGGTAGAGATGGTGCCATTCTCTTGTTTAACGGATCTGATCCTAAGCCTGTATCTATATGGACCGTAATGAAGGCTGAGGGAGGATCAATCTCATTTCTTGAAGGAGACAAGTCTCAGCTTCGTCTTGCATATGTAAATGGGAGCCATGAGTATGTTGTGTTCGATCCCAACAGTGATGAGACACATGAGCGTAGTGCTGCTGACTACGAGGGTCTTGTTGGTGAAGAAGAGACAGGTAAAAAGAAAGAAACTCTTTGTTTAAACCCTTTTTTAGTGATGTATTAATCGGAAAATTTCTTGATCTTTTAGGAGATTTTGGTTACACATCGATGTACGGAGAGTTACCTGACTATGACAAGAAGAGAAAGGAGGATGCTGAGTCGTTGGTAACACCGTTTGTATCGTCAGAGAGACCGTGGGAAACTATATTCAGCGGTTCAACTCTAAACTTCCCGCCTCTTCAGAAGTTATGTGGTGAGTTCTTTGAGTCACTAATGGAGAAAAGTAACTCCGTTGTGGAATGAGAGAGGCTTTACACAAACTAAGCCACAAAAAGAAGAGGTTTTTGTAAGGTTCTTAGGATACAAACTGAACTCAGTTTGCAGCAGACTTTGGTGAATTTAAATTTTGATATAAATCAAAACAAAAGCTTCTTATTTAATACTAATTATTATTTATTATAAATTATGGAAGTTATTATAGTAACAATTTTATGATTACATGTTTTATGTGAAAAAAGTAGATGTGACAGTTCTATTTACATCACGCTAGATCATTTCCTTTCTGTTATATTAGCTGATAGAAAAAAACATATTCTTACTTTAGACCAATGTTTGAGAATTCGGTAGGCGCTTGGCTTAGGACTAACGCTTAGACCATAAAGTGGGGATTAATTGAAGATTAATTTTTTTGTATTTTTTTCATAATATCTTGGGTATAGATATGAAATTGTGTTTATAAACAACATAATATGTTGTAGTCTATTGGTGCGTGATGATGTTGAAGGACCATGGTTCGATTACCCTCTCATCCCTAATAAATTTTAGTTACAAAATTTTTTAAAAACACATATATGCAGAGTTCCACATCGGTTAATTCTATGGAGAACAAGAGTTAGAGAAATCTATAAATATAGGAAGCCAGCCGAATAATAACTTAAACTTGGGCTTGAAACAAAAGGCCCATATTAGCCAATTAGTGCAAATTTGTTCGCGTTTAATTGGTTAAAATCGGTTTTAGAACCGATTAATCGATTAGTTGACCGATTATTTGGTCAACCGATTAGTTAAACCGGATTGGTCCTAATCGCGGCGGGGACTTACCGCCGAACACCTAGCCGACCGGTTAATCGGCAAGCCGGCCGATTAATCGGCAAACCGACCACGTTTTAGAACACAGCTTTAGATGTTTTTTTAAAAACTATAGATGTTTTAGTTAAATAATAATAATAAATATTTAATTAAATTTGATTAATGTATCCTCCCCCCCCTCCCCCCCAAAAAAAATTATATCACTTAGCTGCACATTGTATATGGTGTTTTAGTTTGGTCTTGGCTCAACATGTTGCACCCAAGTTTGACAGCTCTGAGAACCGGAGTTATCCTCTCAACTAAACAAAATCTGCAATTGCAACCACATGCGAGAGAGTTTCAGTTGGAACTTTGGTTGGACTCGAAATTGGCGTGGTTTTCTGTGTCCATACCAAATAAAATAAGGAAGGAAGACAACTTGGGACCGTTTTAGATTCTCAATGATTGTAAAAACGAGTCAGGTGTTCCTAACCCATCAAAAGGAAACTATTCCAAATATTCCAACAAACATCTTCCATTATTAAGTTGACAATACAAAATAAAATAGTTAATGATTTATGGTTTGAGGCCTATATATTATCTACAGTTTTCTTTTGGGTGGTCCGACGTGTTGAGCTAATTATCTTACGTTCAGCCCGGAGGTTCTCATTAAACCTGAGGTTTCTAGGTATGCCCGGAGGTAAGGAATGTGAGGTGCAAAATTCAGAATTTTAAACACTCAGAATCCGGAAGTTCATGATCTAACCCTACGGTTTGCCATTGGAATCCGGAGATTCAAGTTGATCGTTTGGGACCCGGGGGTCTTTCTTGGAATATGGAGGAATTTATTCAGAATCCTGACGTTTCCGAGTAGATCTTAAGGTCTTTGACCAAGACTCGGAGGTAAGAAGACATGAAATGTAAAATTCGGAATTTTCAACATTTGGCTGCACACTGTATATGGTGTTTTAGTTTGGTCTTGGCTCAACATGTTGCACCCAAGTTTGACAGCTCTGAGAACCGGAGTTATTCTCTCAACTAAACGAAATCTGCAATTGCAACCACATGAGAGAGAGTTTCAGCTTGAGCTTTGGTTGGAATCGAAATTGGTGAGGTTTTGTGTGTCCATACCAAATGGAATAAGGAAGGAAGACAACTTGGGACCGTTTTAGATTCTCAATGATTGTAAAAACAAGTTAGGTGTTCCTAACCCATCAAAAGGAAACTATTCCAAATATTCCAACAAACATCTTCCATTATTAAGTTGACAATACAAAATAAAATAGTTAATGATTTATGGTTTGAGGCCTATATATTATCTGCAGTTTTTTTTGGGTGGTCCGACGTGTTGAGCTAATTATCTTACGTTCAGCCCGGAGGTTCTCACTAAACCCTGAGGTTTCTAGCTATGCCCTGAGGTAAGGAATGTGAGGTGAAAAATTCAGAATTTTAAACACTCAGAATCCGGAAGTTCATGATCTAACCCTACGGTTTGCCATTGGAATCCGGAGATTCAAGTTGATCGTTTGAGACCCGGGGGTCTTTCTTGGAATATGGAGGAATTTATTCATAACCCTGACGTTTCCAAGTAGATCCTAAGGTCTTTGACCTAGACTCGGAGGTAAGAAGACGTGAAATGTAAAATTCGGAATTTTCAACATTTGGAATCCGGAGGTTATTGTCTTCGAGATCGTATTTTGCCCACCTTAGGTAGACCACTACCGATCTCGGGTAAATATTTGCATTCTGCCACTTGGAAGTAGGCCACTATCGAGATCCTGTAATGCTGCACTTTTCTTTCTGCATAAAGCCACTCTCAGTCTTATATGTTGGTGCTGGGGTGGGTCTACCAGGCTTGCTACTTTCCACGTCTGGATAAGTAGGATATAAGTGCTCCCAAGATTTTGTGCACCGTCTGCTCCCTGAGATCATGGTGCTGATCTCAGTACTCTGCAGTTATACATACATTGTGTTTAGCTCGGAGCGTTTTCAATGCAAGAATTGGTGCACCAGTACATGTGGTCCCTGCGTGAGTTTTTGGCTCAGGGCCTCTACGCAGGGACTGAGGTGTTTTTTACAATGTATTAAGGTTGATCAGGCCTGTTCTAGTACGTCGTACACCCAATTTTTTTCTATATTTGAGTCGTATCACAGATATTTTTATATGTGAGTCGTGTCACGGAGATATAGGGTTCGCCAGGATCGAGCGTAGCTAATAAGCCTATTTTAAGTTCAGTGGAGTTCCTGTGATTCCTTTAGTCGGAACTAAAATGTATTACATAAGCTTATTCCATAGACGTTTTTAGCATACATAGGAGTAGGAAACCAGTATACTTAAAATATATATGTGGGAACCGAAATTCGCACTGTCGATTTTCCGTAAAATAAGGAAACTTAGGAAAACCTAATTTTCCAGAGGTCCCAGATCTCTACAGAAAAACACTAAAACGAAAAAAATGAACATAATATAGATGAAGAAGTTGTGCAAAGACTATTATTAATATAGATATGGATAAAGAGATTTGAAAGCTGTTACAACAAAGAGAATCGCGGAACTTAGAAAACCAAACATTCTCAGAATCCGACTTGCTAGTCTAGCCACCCAAGTCCTAAATTAGTCTAAGCTAACATCAGTTATTGTAGGTCTAAACCGTCATCATATATATGGGCTGGAATTCGTCTAAAGTCGTAAGAGAGCCTTTATCGCGTTTTAGGACCTTTCGGGCCGTTTTGCGCCTTAGCCGTTTTATGACTTTATACGGGATCGTTCCTTGATACGATTCCGTTTTTATAAAACATCTTGAGTCGATCGTATAGTTTAGTAATCTATAATTTTTCGTTTAACCGTTACCGTTTTACGCGATTTACTCGAGTCTTTACGAGAAAACGAGTCACTTTAGCTGCATTTAGATTCCCTTTAGGTGCATAGCATATGCATGTGTGGTATTTCAGGTATGGAGAAGCTTAGGTTGGAGATTAGAGAGTTTAGTCAAGGAAAATGGAGCACACCAAATAGTTTTGGAGGCCGACCGCGGGAGAGCACACGCGGGTTACACTGGTCCGCGGAAACTGACCCGAGAAGGGCCTCAACGATGACCAAGACGCGGACGAGTCATGTGGGCCATGCCTGGCCACGTATTTCGTCCCAAGAGCCAGCTTGCTCGACCTTCTCCGTGGATAATTCACGCGGGTGACCTTAGACCGCGCCTTCTTGTTAGACATGCACTACGGCCTTCACACGCGGCCAGTACGAGGCCGCGTTTTCGAGCCCGAGAGTGAGCTGTTTTCTCGACCACAACACGTGGCCACTTCCCGCGGGCAGCACCAGTCCGCGTCCTGTCACGAGCCACAACACGCGGCCTCCATACCAGGGCAGCACCAGTCCGCGTTTTCAAGCCCGAGAGATGCCTTTTCTTCGACCTTCACACGCAGACGGGATGCGCGGGCACAAGCAGGCCGCGGTGAGCATTGAGATCAACTTACCCATTATTTGTTTGGGTCAAACCCGGGTTTTCGGGTAGACCCGGTTTAAGTTTTAAGCTACTATAAATACAATCTAGACCTAATCCTTAGGGATTATCTTATTTTCTCTCCTAAACACTTGAAATTTTAGTGAAAGTTTATTCCTTTAATCTAAGTTTCATCTTTTATCTTGTGTTCTTGAGATTTTTTAAGTGTATCATTGCTTTCTAATCATGATTAACCTTAAATCCTTCATAGGCTTAAGTTTAATCAAGGTGATTAGTGAGTAGTCATCTTAGGATTCATGGGTTAGAGAGATCAAAGGGTGATTAAGCTAGATCTAAAGTGTTTAAGCATAGATCTATCTTGTTCCTTGCTTGTAGAGTGAATCTAACGCTATTTTAGAGTTGGCCTCTCTAGAATTGAGCTCTAGGTATTTCATGCCCTAAAGGTGTATGATGAAATACCTGAACCAACTCTCCAATGCTTTTAACATTCTTTACCAAAGAGATTTGTTGTTAAAGGTGTTAGGATGACTAGTAGACTTGATTTTAATGATTGTTTAGATAACATTCAACCTAAGACATTAGATACTTGAGTTATCTTTGCAAATGAACATTCATCTAGAGATAGAGTTTGTTTAGGATTGTGTCTAGGCCTAAGGTTAATAGATAGATTGATAAGCTTCACCTTTAGATTGAACCTTGATCACCCAAGATCAATTCCCTTATCCCATGAGTTCTCTCTTCTCATTTTAAAAGAAAGCTTTCATTTTTATTGCTTATTTATTGGTTTCTTACTTTAAAATCATCTCACCAATTGATAACACTTAGATTAAGCATGGTCTTGTAATTCCTTTGGTTTATGATCACTTAGAACTGGTTTGATATCCTTTATATGACAACATTTGATTAGGAACCTTAAAAGTCCTATCATCAAATT